CTGTCTTCTCAGAGACCCATCTTTAGGTTTTCCTGAAGTTTTTGTTCCTACACTTCAAAGATTCCAAGGTTTGAATTCAAAAGACATGGATCTCAGACACAGATCCAGGTGAATCCTTTGAATCTTTCAGGTGTCAATTGTTTTCCTTATGGGCTATAGCTCACCCAATGTTTTGCATGCCTTGATTAGAATATCACAAAGGTCTTACTTCCAGGGCTGCAAGCCTGGAGTTTCTGATCCTTTGATCTCCATTTCTGGTTGTGTGCTTTCCTATGGGAACTAAAGCTAACTTAAGTCACTATGACTTATATAAGGAATCAAAATTATATCAAGGTATCTTTCAGAACAGAAATTGATCATAGGGGGTGGAGAATCAAACCATTTGAATAAATTAGGCAGATTATCTGAACTATTCCCTACTCTTAAGACCATGCATGACATAAATCTGTTATTCATCATTAACGACTGGCCTGTCTTGCAACTACCTGTATATTCCTTCTGCCCAGATGTCCAGTTTCTGGTCTAGTGTAAGACATGAAATTCAATATGCCCTCTGGTGTATATAAGGAACTCCTTCAGACATACTTGAGACAGGCCTGTTGTTATGACATTCTAAGTTACATGTTCAGGATAAATATTAAGAATGTCACCAAGTATAGAAGAATCTAATTTCCTCAAGCACAGAAAAAGTCTCAGATTCACAGACAAAGTCTCAGAATGAGTCATGAAGGCTATATGTTAGTTCCGCAACCAGAAAAGGTGTGCCACTGATTACTAGCTGCCAAGGCAGAACAACGGGGAAGAATGCTGCCTTCATGTTCTCTTGGTAGGCTCATGGAGAAACTTAATTGGCTACTGTGTAAAAAAAGAGACACTGGGTTAGATAGGTTGATCCAATATGGTTCTTATGTTCACTTTGTACAGTCAGAAACCAGACTGACATAGGTTTTCCAGCATAATATACCCTCTTATACTCCCTGTTATTTAATCCAGAAACAATAATAAAAAAATCCCTGGTTTCTCTACCAAGTTTCATACCCACTGCAATCCATGTTAGTCTCTCCACAGAATTGATAGATAAATTGAAAATGTAAACAAAAAAAGTGGTTGTGCAATGTGGTGGCTCTATCATGCTAAAAAGCAACTGATTTAATTTAATAAGATATACTGTTCTGCCGTGCCTATATCTGAGAGTAAACATACTTTAACAGTTCATTGGAAACCTGCAGAAAGTGGTCGTGAGTAAGCATGACTCAGTCTATGGTATTCTATTTTTGTTTTTCAAGTCTTATACAACTCCTGTTACTCATACAACTCTGTTAAGATCACAGTTATTAGAAAAGAAAACTAATCTGAAACTCTCTAGATGATCACATCATGATGTAGTTTAATGTACAGAATGTTCCATGCATCACACACCATATGTGAAAGGGGGAGGGAGCTGAGCAGCTTTACAATGGAGGTTCTGTTTGTCAGTAATCTGACTCCAGCATTGAGTCACGCCATAACATCTATGTCCTGGACTACATTGGTTAAAGGGAAACATATTGAATTTTGAACATTGTAGCCATGCCATGTGTTTCTCTGTAGAGCTAAGCAGAAAAACAGAGAAAATGAATACATGATACAAAACAGGAAAATAAATATTTGAAAATACAGTTTTAATTACTAGAGCAAAAGTCAAGCTCTTTTTGTACAAAATTTCAAATAGACCACTTAGTCTTGATGTCATGTAGAAATGGGATGCAAAATGCTACCCCGGAACTCTAAATAAATCCTGGATACTTAAGTAAATGCTTTACCAACACAAATGTAAACAAAGTCTATGCCTCCAACAGTTTGTCTTCTGTTTTCCGGATGATGTGTGTGTCGTTATGTTTGCCAAACAATATTGCAAAACATGTTCCTAGAAAGTAAATGCGCTAGTAACTTAGAAAATGATTGCATTCTCCCTTTTAGAGTATAAGGTTTATTAGTGGAATCAACATTTATGTCAAGTTATTAAATCCATTTTGTAGGTGAAGCTGAAATGGTTTAATGTATTCGCAAAGGCTTTGATGGCTGGGATCTAATGCTTGTTGTGGGTTTTTCGGGCTCTTTGGCCATGTTCTGAAGGTTGTTCCTAACGTTTCGCTAGTCTCTGTGGACGGGATCTTCAGAAGACAGCACTGTGTTTTCTGAAGATGCCGGCCACAGAGCCAGAGTGCTGTCCTCTGAAGATGCCAGCCACAGAGACTGGTGAAACGTTAGGAAGAACAACCTTCAGAACATGGCCAAAGAGCCCAAAAAACCCAGAACAACCACTGAAATGGTTTGTTACACTTTAAAAAAAAAAAACCAACTCCATTGCTTTAATTTCTAAATATTATATTATCAATCTGGTCAGTGTATGGATTGCCTAAAAATTGGGCTTCAGAATTTTGCAGCAGCTGCTGCTGCATCAATGCTAGAGCTCATGATATTCCATTAGTACTTGGGATATATACCTAGAAGTAACACAGCAGTATGATTGTTGATGCAGTGCTTGAACCTGTCAGTTCTTGGGATACAGAAGCGATGGGCAGGATTGTCATTTCACTTGTCTAGCTAGCCAGCCAACACCTCCCCTGATTTGCACTGCCCTGAAGCCAGATTCTCATGGATCTGTAGATGAGCAGAAAAAAATGTTCACAAAAAGTAACAGCAATCTCATGAGAATATTGCCAGAAGCCCACTGAGTGTGGCAAAGTGTCATTATTTATTCATATAAACTAGCTATGTGGTGGCTACTTTACATAATTTCCCTCTCCCCATTTAATCCTGAAAACAGCGCTGTATGGCAGGTTCAGCTGAGAAGTACTTATTGATTTAAACATATCAGGAAAACTTTGTGGTTGAGCAGGGATTTGAACTTCAGCCTTCCCATTTCAGGTCTAATACTGACGTTAATACACTGTAAACTGGCTCCCTCAGATTACTGTTCACTGTATAAATGATTCCAAGACTAGACTATATGAGCCAATATGCGGTTGCTTTCATGGTATGTGTGACTTTGTCTCATTGTGTACAAATCACATGTGCCCTGGATTAAGCACATTTGAATGCCTTTAATTAGCTAACTGAGAATCTGCTGTTGCTAATGAGATCATTTCCATTATGCCGGTGTAGCTATTTAACAGAATACTTGCTATTGATGAGAAAATAATTATCCTGCACTTGGAGAACTTGAATATGAGAAACGGAGTAATGAGTAACACAGCTTTTGGGAGAAATGAAACTATTCAGTACTTAAGAATCTGATGGGTAATCACATGAGCAGGAAAAAAGTGACCTAGAAGCCCTATGGAGGAGACAGGTTTCCTTATTTGGGACTGCTCTCCACATGATTGGGAACCAATCAGAAAGGCACAGCTAATTTGTATTTTTGGTTTATGTATTTTACGTTTATGTTTATGTTATAGTTAAAATAAAAACAAGCAAGCAAACAAAAAAAACAAAGAAAGGCAACATTCATGAACACAGATACTTCTTTTCTGGAGATTGCCTCCACGTACAGCAGAAAACTGGGAACTGCTGAGAAAAGAGATAAACCTCCTTCCCTATTCTCACAATCCCCCACTTGGATTCCTAATGAATGAATAGAACTAACGAGTATGCAGGACCTCAGAGAATGGTATCAAAACAGTCTTCGACATAATGCATACTCTTTTACGAAATCAGTCAAGAATTAGCTAGGGATGTACACAGTGAAAAAATTTCGTATTTCATTTGTTTTGATTCTTTTGGGGCCTACCTCTTTTCTTTTTGGTAATTTTTTTATATATGTACTTGTCATTTTACCAAAAAAGGAAAAATCATTTTTTGGGTTCCCCATTCTCCCCTCACCCCAAATTTGGGTTTTCTGGCATTCCAGAAGCCCTAAAGAACCTTTTAAAATGTCTGCAAAAAGCAGAGTATCAGTCTGCTTCAAAAGCACACACAGTACATGAGGAAGAAAAAGGAAAGAAAAAGGAAAGGAGTGGTGAATGCTGTTCCTCGCCCTCTCCATGTTGATAGGAGCCTGGCAGTCAAGGACAACTCCAGCTTTGCAGTAGGATTGCCCTGTAACATGTCAGTCATTCTAATCTTTCAAAAATGTGCACACTATTCCAGTTCAAATTTGCCTATTTCTTTCCTTAAACAGCTTCAGTTCAGTTTGAAATACACAGGCAGGGTTTGAAAAGTGGGCAGAACAGAAGGCATGAATGAACTGCGGTAATGATGTTGCTGAAGTTCTTTCACTCACTGTGAAGTAGCCTGGGCCTGCTTGAGATGCTCAGCTATATTATTAGGCCCTGTCTGAGAGAGTTGTCCATTAAGCCAGCTTAAACTCGGACCTAAGCACTTGCATCTTCCTCCCAGCCAACTTCTTGGACTCTGCAATGGCATTGTCCCTTTTTTCAGATATCTAGTAAAAGTCCTCCCCCCACAATTCCAAATTATTGATGTTTTGCTTCTTGGAAATTGCATGCTTGGATTCTGTGTGCTCTTGTTGTAGTAATATACATTACTCCTTTATCTCTGTATGAATGTGTATTTTACGGATGCTAAAACAGATGCTTTAACAGATAGTTTGTTAAAAACAGATAATTTAACATGTATTTAATAATTCCACAACTGTAACCTATCTACTTCCATTTTTTGTCTTTGTCTTTTTTCTTTTGTATATGCTATTTTAAAAATGTACAGTATACTGTACGTCTGTGAGAAATTGCCAGAGGGTTTTTTTATTTTATTTTTTGCATCTGAGATGCTTTAACTCTAGTATATATGGTTGTTAGAATAAGAAACTTAACTGATCTTTAAACATCAAGATGTTGGTAACTTCATATACCAACATCTTGTTAGATTTGATTTGCTGTTGTTTGGGGTTAGGCAGCACTAACTTAGTACATTAGTTTTAAATGTATATTACTATATTCAATACAGATCAGAATACACTGTTGCATGGAAACATTATTTTTTTTACTTTTTGTTCATAGCAGAAGCATGTTCAAGAATACGGGAAAATTTTCAAGTCGCATTTTGGTCCCAAACTAGTTGTATCCATTGCAGATCGAGACATGGTGGCTCAGGTTCTCCGGGAAGAAGGACCTTCACCACAACGAGCTGACATGGATTCCTGGCAAGAATACAGGAATTTACGAGGGAGAGCTACAGGACTTATATCTGCGTGAGTCCAGTGGTATTTTCAGTTTGTATTGTCAAACAAAGCAACTTTCCTTGTGATTCACTTAGACGAGCCTGAAAAAGCATGTAAAACTGGTTTTCAATAATGTATTTTTCTGAAGCACGTACTTGTATAATGACTGTATAGTATGGCAAATGCCATTGTGGAACATTCAGAATAATTACTGATGCAATATCTTATTCAAAAGAAAGGCAATTGCTTTATGAGTCACAGGCATCCCCTGCCTTTACAGGGGAAAAAATTATAGCAGCTAAGTGCTTTATGTAGTAAGAACCAGATTGTGCATTAGAAAAGGTCAGCAAAATCTTGATTATACAGAATGGGGCAAAATAAAAATCTCTATTGTGTAATTTCCATTTGTGTTTTTTAATCATGGATTCTTTTATTGAGATTTGTACATCAGTCATCTTGCAGTTAGGAACACTGAAGGTCTGTTAAAAAATAAATGTAACAACTCCTATTTCTTGTTATTTCATGATGAACGTTCCAAACTGCATAACAAACTAGGAGGGAGCACATATTTGATAATTAATAAAATGGTGGCCAATAGGAGAAAAAAACAGCTTTTAATGGGGGCAGTAATGAACTCTAGTCAAATTACTTTTCTCTGATCTGAATGAAAGTCAAAACAGATGAGATTTTCTGATTGTGCATTCATGTCAGAATAGATGGGGTTTTTAAATTTTTGCACACATGAATTATATTTCTGTATTGCAAGTTGCTGTACTAAAGGGAAGTAAAACCTCTGAGCCCTCCAGAGAAGACCTATATATGCTAAGGTAGCTCTGCTGTCATTGTGCTTCCAGCAAATCTGGATATTCAGATCAGAACTATCTTAAGAAGCTAGAAGCTAGAAACAAAGCTTATTGACCCGAGTAACAAACAGACCCAGGCACTAAGTTTAGGGAGGAGAGGATTCAAATGGTTGACAAGCTGCAAAAAAAGGTCTGTTCAGTACTAATTTCATCCCCTCTCTTTACTAACTTCTGTGTGGTTGGCTGAAGCAAATTAAACTGGGGAAACCCAAATGCCTGGGCATGACTTTGCAGCAGATTTATTTGAATTTTTCCTGCTCAGTAGTCACACCCTTGTTTCCATCAAGGGTATGCTCACTCTGGCAAAATAACAAGTACAACACAAAACAATGGATGTATTGTATGTGATTATATGCAATTGAATTAATACAATTTACTTATGTAATTTACAGAAAGTGGGGCAATACAGTATTGGCCTTTTGTTCAATCTATATGTACAAATATTACATGAATGTTCACCCTCCAGCAACAGGAGAATGAAACTTTGACTTGTTCTCTTTTCATAAGATATATATAATTTCTTAATATAATTTTTTCTTTAGATAATCTTTACTGTTACTTCTTCCAGAGAAGGGGAACAGTGGCTAAAAATGAGGCGTGTCCTAAGGCAAAAAATGGTGAAACCCAAAGATGTCGCCATTTTCTCTGAAGGAGTTTCTGAAGTTGTTGCTGATTTAATTAAGAGAATCTACATTCTGAGAAATCAAGAAGAAGATGGGGAAACTGTGACAAATGTTAACAGCCTTTTTTTCAAGTATTCAATGGAAGGTGAGACTAATAATCAATTTCTTAAAAAGCAATGGAAATTGAAACCACATGGATGGCCCACTTATTATTGTCAATTGTAATTCAAATGAACAGGCAGAACATTGCCCATCAAGCCCAGAATAATGAGATGAGACACAGATGATGGGTTTAAACTTGGACCACAACTTTATGCAATAACCATAACCACCCACCTCCGGCAGAGAGACCTTAGAAATGTGGAACCTGGGTCAGGAGTCAGTAGGGCCACCTGACCTCCACTTCTGCCCTGAAACAGCCAAATCCCAAGTCTGTGCTGTTTTCAGCCAGCAAACCCCAACTGATCTTCCCAGGCTGCTGCCCACCCAAGCCTCATGACCTTAGGGCCAGACCCCTGTGCATTCCCCATCCCAGGAATGAAATCTCAGGATCTGTGGTGCCAGGATGCTGAATGGGCTAGCAGCCTCCAGGGAAACCCTTGAAAACTCACTGATAAGCACCTTCTATTCCACACTATAGGGACGTGGTGGCGCTGTGGGCTAAACCGCAGAAGCCTGTGCTGCAGGGTCAGAAGACCAGCAGTAGTAAGATTGAATCCACGCAATGGAGTGAGTGCCCATCGCTCATCCCAGCTCCCGCCAACCTAGCGGTTCGAAAGCATCCCTCCAGGGAACCCCTTGAAAACTCACTGACAAGCACCTTCTATTCCACACTACCCACCTGTGTGATCTATTTAACAAATTAGCAATCCAGTGATATGCCTGTTGAGTTTATAGGGCACAGAGGTAAACTTCCATAGAAATGTGACGTCCGTGTGGAAACTGCTATTTTTTTCCTTACCGCTTCAGCTGGTTAGTCTGATACGTACTTCTTACGAGCAAATATCGTTGAACTTGTTTAGCTTTACTTTGGAGTAAACATATACAGCGGTGCCTTGATTTAAGAACTTAACCCGTATTGGAACGGTGGCTGTAAGTCAAAACATTCTTAAGTCAAAGCACCATTTCCCATAGGAATGCATTGAAAACTGATAAATCCGTCCGGAACCTTTACCGTTTACCTTTTATTCCACACTACCCACCCGTGTGATCTATTTAACAATTTAGCAATCCAGTGATATGCCTGTTGAGTTTATAGGGCACAGAGGTAAACTTCCATAGAAATGTGACGTCCGTGTGGAAACTGCTATTTTTTTCCTTACCGCTTCAGCTGGTTAGTCTGATACGTACTTCTTACGAGCAAATATTGTTGAACTTGCTTAGCTTTACTTTGGAGTAAACATATACAGCGGTGCCTTGACTTAAGAACTTAACCCGTATTGGAACGGTGGCTGTGAGTCAAAACGTTCTTAAGTCAAAGCACCATTTCCCATAGGAATGCATTGAAAACTGATAAATCCGTCCCAGCTGTTTTTTGTCCTTATGCCAAGGCACGGTTCTTAAGTCGAAGCATTAGTTCCCATAGGAACTAATGCAAAGCCAGTTAATCTGTACTCTACCACTAGGGGGATATTTTTTTTCTTTTTTCTTCTTTTGACCTAAGATGAACTTAGGTCAAAAAAAGGGCAGGAAGTCAAGACACGGTTCGTAACTCTAAGCAATATTTAGCATCTGGATATGTTTGTAACTCAAAACATTCGTATGTCAGGGCGTTCGTAAGTCAAGGCACCACTGTATAACATTGCAGTATAAATTGTGTTGGGAAGGAAGTAACAAACTCTCTTTGCTCTCAGGTGTGGCAACTGTTCTCTATGAGTGCCGCTTGGGGTGCCTGGAAAGCCATATCCCTCAGAGTACAGTGGAATACATTGAAGCACTGGAGTTAATGTTCAGCAGTTTCAAAACTACCATGTACGCAGGAGCTATTCCCAAATGGCTTCGCCCAATTATTCCAAAACCTTGGAAAGAATTCTGTAAATCATGGGATGGACTGTTTAAATTTAGTAAGTCTTTGAATATAATTCTGGTACACCTGCAATTATTTGACGGCATTTTTTTCTTTTTAATCAATAACTGTAATATGAAATAGCTGGCTGGATATCTCAGTGGTTGAAGTATCTGACTCTAGAGCCAAAGTTCAGGAGTTTCAGTTCCCACTGGGAGAAGAGGCAGCCTATGGGCAAGCTATGCAGTTCCAGGACGCCCCCAGAAGAAGGGAAGGGAAAACCACGTCTGTGTCTTCTCTACCTGGAAAACCCTGAAAAGGGTTGCCATATGGTCATAAGTGACTTGATGGCAGATGATTATTGATTATAATTTGAAATAACCAGAGAAAGCCAGTCCTGGTATACATTAGGTTTTCTAGAAGAAGGGGGGGGGAAAAACTGGAATGAAATCAGATATGCTTTGGAAAGACTCAGATTTGTTCCTCATTGTGCAATCTATATTGTTGAAAATAAATAATACAAATCCAGCTTGTAGAAGTATGTGTTGACGCAACTTCCATATATAAAGGTTTGTTTGCTACTGAAACAAGCCAGAACTAGATCATCAGAGGCTGAGTACATGAGCTGTTCAGCCTGCTGCTTGGATGGTGACTTAATGACGTCTTTGCTAGAGCGCACCAGCCCTCTTTGGAGCGTTCCTACCTGTAATTTTCAGGCCCCTGCCGAGGCACTTCCACTCGTCTGGCATGGGTAGCATTGCTCTGATTTGGGTTGGTTCCAAGATGGAACTGACCCAAAGCAAGCCATTTCAGGATATTAGCAAATTAATTACTTCCCTTGCTCAACAGAAGGCAGGGGAAGTGAAATTATTTTCTTCCGACTGTATAGAGACGATTGCTGATGTACTGCATCAGTTATTAAAAAACACAAAAACTCTTTTCTTTGCCTTCTCTTAAAGGGCTGGTCGAGAAACTGACTGCAGCCAAAGCCACCCCCATGGATTCAATGGCAGGCAGTTTCTCAACCAGCCCTTTAAGAGAAGATAAAGAGATTTTTAAAAATTATTTTCAAACCATTTCTGTGTAAATGGTCGGACTTGATTAGATCATTCTAATCAAGCCCGACCATTCCAAAGCAGCCATGCTAGCTTGCTTCTAGCTATTGTATAGCCAGACCCTAAGAATAATCCATTAGTCCTTATAGGCTATAGTATGCATCTGTCTTCTGGGATACTTGAAAGTATTCTTGTAGTATGCTCTATGGTGGCTTTGTTCCCCCTCCACCCACTCCCCAAATTGAAGGTAACATTTCATTTTCTCCATTCTTCTGGTTCAATTAAAATTTGATTTGGAAGAATGGGAACATGTTATCTATTTGCATGCTTTCTCTTCCCTTCTGTACGTAGATTTCCTCTTCTAGGTCAACAGCGGTTAACATTAACCTCTCAGTCATTATTTGAGGTCATGGTCTGGACCAGTTTTGCAAACCAGTATTTATATTCAGATAAATGGCAAGAGAGAACACGAAATGCAGGAGGGATCAGTATAAAAGACAAGAGTGAGATAAAACATGGAAGGCAGACCATATCCTGTTTTCAAAACTATGTTTCAGAGCATAGATGAGGAATGTGAGGCTTCCTATATGTCATTCAGCTAATGTTTTCATTGTTTATTTATTTAATCATTTACAAATTGCATCTTCATTCTTCAGATATTTGATCCCAAGTCATTTAGGGTTTTAAAGGTACTGTACATTACATTGGGCTCAGGAATGTAGATTCTTAATGGATCCATTTAGATCAGTGCTTCCCAACCTTGAGTTCCCAGATGTTCTTGGATTAGAACTCTCAGAAATCCTGGCCAGCACACCTAGTGGTGGAGGCTTCTGGGAGTTTGAGTCCAAGAATGTCTGGGGACCTAAAGTTAAGAACCACTAGATAAACCTGCTTGAATTCTAGCAGCTAAATTCTAGTGGAAGTTCCTCAAGCATTTTTAAGTGAGGAAATCCTCCAAGGTAGGCTTCAGCAGTATGTGGACCGAGAACTCCCAGAAGCTGGATTTCAAAGGGGCAGAGGAACCAGAGAACAAATTGCTAACATGCGCTGGAGTGCCTGACCACCTTATCTATCTCCTGCGAAATCTATACGTGGGACAGGAAGCAAGAATTAGAACTGGATATGGAACAATTGATTGGTTCGAAATTGGGAAAGGAGTACGACAAGGCTGTATATTGTCCCCCAGCCTATTTAACTTATATGCAGAATACATCATGCGGAAGGCTGGACTGGAGGAATCCCAAGCCGGAATTAAGATTGCCGGAAGAAATATCAACAACCTCCGATATGCAGATGATACCACTCTGATGGCAGAAAGTGAGGAGGAATTAAAGAACTTCTTATTGAGTGTGAAAGAGGAGAGTGCAAAAAACGGTCTGAAGCTCAACATCAAAAAAA